AAAGGTTCAACGGCGCCTTCGATTTCAACACTACATCCTTAAGAAAATGATCGATAATTTTAGGGACAAGAGGTACACTGCCCAGGGGCGTCGTTAATATTAGTGCTACCATCAGGGCCAAATTATGTTGCCATTCTCCCATTCACGAAACATATTCTGCATTTGTCCGAAAATGCACCACATCCCCAAAAGAAAAAAAAAAGTTACACCTTGTTGAATAACCTCACCCTCCCCTTTCTACGCGTAATTTCCACCGTCATTGCCTAGCTAGAACGTTTTTTATCATGGGAAAATTATTTTTTGGTTACGCCCCTGCCAACTCTAAAACTAATTATTTTACACCATCAACATTCATTTTGGTGTTCACGCTAGTCTTGCGCCCAGGACGTATCTTCCACTTCTTAGCTACCCCTTTGTCCAGGGCGCACTGGCAACTGGCACTGACCCAAACTTCCTTTAAAATCTGAAATGTCCAAGGGGGAATAATGTCTAAAAAAAGCACTGTGTATGGATGGGGGTGCAATAATGGGGCTCATAAGCATACATATTCACTTCAAATGCAACAGGAAAGATAAATTGAACGGCGATATTGTATCATTGACAACAATGGCGCAGACAGAGACGGGTAAAGGGTGGATGACGGAGGGTGCAGTCCGCATTGTGTGGTAATTTTCAAGGGTTGTTAATATTTGGTTTACTTCAAAGAATAGCTGTGGTCGAAGTTTGATGTATATTCTATTTATACACGTATTATAATGTAGGGAGAAAAAGATCACCTTCAGTGTTGTAAACTCTTCCCAGGCTCAAATATTTGACAGACTTTAACAATCACGCACAATTGATTGAATTTTAAATATACTGTAACTGCATATCCTGCTAAAGCAGAATTGGAGATGGCTTGTAAAGGTAAACATTTTACCCCCACCCCAATTTATATGTGTATATATATATATGTATAGTTATATATATATATACTAAATATATTTAAAAGCAGGAGAGTTAAACAAAAATATACTAGACATTTTTTTATATGTAGTTTAATGAATAGTAACACAGAAAAAATAGACCAAAGTATGCTCTGGATTGATTTAGCCCAGTGGTCCCCAAATGGCGGTCCGTGGACCTTCACCTGTCCGCATGCCTAACGCTGCTGGTCCCCATAACATAAATAGTAATTGTGAAATAGAAATAAAAGTATAAAAATAAATCATGCACTGGTCCCTGGTAAAATTTCGAAACTTGTTCACCGGTTCGCAAAGCTTAAATGTTTTTGGGAACCACTGATTTAGCCGATCGCTTTAATGTTGACAAATATTACGGGACACTTAAGGCAGGGATCGCTGACCCAGATAGCTTCAAGGGCTTTTTTCTATGTCAGTTAGCAATAAGTTGGTCACATGTATAATGCAACTACACTGTTAAACAGTTTCAAACCAGCCTTTGCTGAGTTTAACAAATCAGGAGTTTAGATTTCTCACAATCAAATGAAAACTATTAAATGAAATATGAAAACTATCTTTATTCGTTATGTGTTTATATTATCCCTCAATTAAATTTTAAAAATTTAAATATGTATTTGTTAGTTTTTTTCCCAAATATCATTTTCTTAGGTATAGGAGGTGCAAGTTCTGACACTCGAAGCGGTGGGAGGGGGGTATATGTGTTGAGAGCTGAAAATATGTGAGCCAAAGGATCATAATGACTACATGTGCATAGTTTTGGATAAGTAGCCGATCCTTAAGTTTTTAATTCAGGCACACATTTCAAATTGTGTAATTCCTTAAATAATGTCTCATTGAAGTAGAGAAAAGATTTTGTTTTCTTCCAAAGACGTTTCAAAAATTCAAAATGAAATGTGAAGTATAAAAGTAAAATATAATTTTTATTTAATTCAAAATAATTTAATTTCATGGGACATTTATGATATGTATTGATTGTTGTATTTGAGTTTTAAAACCAACGAAAACTAGAAAGCAATATGTTGAAATTAGACAGACCCAATTTTATTTTTTTTGAAAGGACCTCATTTAGCCCAGCTATCCGGATTTTTTTTTTGTCTCTATGAATTAAGTGACTTAATATTCCCCACATCTTCCACTTGAAAGGGGGTACTTTTTGGTGGTGGTAGTAGGGCGAAGGGAATGGCAATTTGAAAGAATGTGTTTTATTTGCGCGTCTATGTGTAAAGATTAATCTTGATAGGTTGAAGTTGATCAATGGGAGTCGCTTAGTCACTTCCTTGTTTGGTCACGTGATGTGAGTAAGCCATCACTAGGCTGCTACACACAACAAAAGATACTTCATCAGTGCTTCCCCAATGTCATGTTAATTAAAAATTTTACCTTTCGTAATATTCTGGAATGCAAGCGTTTTTTAAATGAAATACATAAATGTGACAATAAATATACGTCAGTTATGATTAAAGGAAGAAAGTTATTTCAAGAAAAATTTGTGAGGGATATTCGATGGGAACTATCAATACTATTATCGGCAGGATGTTGTTGAGCTCCGTGCGTGCTCATGACGTCATTTGCGTTTTTATTCAATATTGATGCAGGAGTCATTCCCCTTTGTTTATTTTATTGTTAATTTTCATTGGACGAAATGTAGTGTAGTTGTAGTGTGTATCGGGCTACTGTTGTCAAGCACTAGTGTGTTGTATACAGTATACCGGAAATCTTACTCGTTTTTACTCACATCACGTGACAAAATAATTGACTAAGCGACTCCCATTATCCGTCCAAAGAGTTCGCCAACCCGCCAGCCACGAACAAAAGCAAAGTTAATATAAAGGATTTTAATTTTTGTTTTGTTTTACTGGTATTTATGAATGGTGCAAATCACAATTCATACGATAAAATATTTGTTGGAAGCGTTTAAACAACTTTCATATGGCTATGCACATTTTAGTATCAGTTTTATTACAATATCTCCATATCATGCGTGAAAACAAATCACACATGCTAATCTTTGGTAAATAGAAAATACAAAGAGATGCAATTTTTGGTGAGAATATTTCCGGCACCAAAATGCACCGTCTTGTGTGTTTCTTCAATAAAAAAGATGCAATTTTTTGTTTACATTTTGGATTCTTAATACAAGCATTTTAAACTTTAAAATATGATACAACAGGTAGATTATTGCTATAAGATTTCCGATACTATTTACCTGCATACCTTGACAATGTTGAAATGATATTAAGTCATATCATCGGCATCTTGTTTCCCCCCACATAATCCCTTAGAGTAATTTCAATTTTTAGCTTTGATTATTTAAAAAAAAAGAAGATAAGTGTAATCTCAAAAAGATATAAAATAGGAAGAAAAAAAAAATCTGATAAAGAGCTAGAATAAATTTGTTGGAGGTTTTCAGACAGCTTTCTACGTAATTACATTTCTATTTGGCAACCTACTTTTAAAAAAAAAATAAAGTTTCAACTTTATTATTTTAATTTTTATCTTTCTTTTTTGTATCATTTGAAGGGAGCGATTCCATTTGGACAGGTACTGGAGTGCACTGTTTTTTATTAAGGATGCAAACATTTTTATTTAAAAATCCTGTAAGTCAGCTGACGCAGTCTTAAAAATACCTTTTTAAAAACGTTGTTGTTATTTTAAAAAAAAAAAAGCATTATTGTCTTCCTTTAGCAGCTTATACAGGTGTGTGTGTGTGTGTGTGTGTTGAGCGGGTTTTGATAAGAGATTAATTTAAGTTTCTTTTTTTAAGAAATAGTTTTATATAATAATGGTTTTTCACTAAGTGGTATCACGTTATGGGCTTTAGTAGTCTACTGTGTCGCATCACCAGTCGGTCACATAAGCCATTTGTTTTTCAGTATATGCTAGGTGTTAGCCAGTAGAACGGAGTATTATATTAAATTACCCTTCTTATTAAACACCAGGAATTATTGTATATTCTACAGAGTAGCTAGTTTTAATTAAAAAAATAAGATCCCCCAGATGTGCTATAGCATAACTTTTTCGTTTGTTTCATTTTAGAAATATTAATTTAAACAGTTTCTACAAGCTATACTTTATCTACGATATTCACAAACGAGGTGGTGAATGAACTGAACCGAGTTTTACTGTTATGTTTCATATAATTAATTCAAAATCACAACAGCTCGATGCAGGCTTGACCAAAATCTCATGCAAAATTTCGCAATTTCTTTGTTTATAATTATAAATGAAATTAATTAACTAGGCATGGCTTGTTTTTTTGTTAATAGTGTTTTTTTTTTCCTTCTACTCCTTTTCTTCAAAAGCTTATCAAGCCGTTGGCATACATTAATACAATAGACAAGAAAACTTTTGGAACTTAGAGATACATATTTATGATGTCCGAGGATGCTTCAAAGCTACGAATTGAATGTCGTTTGCTCCTACTGGTTGTCTTCTATCAAATTAAAGGTAAAATGTTTTAAAACTGAATAGCTGACGTTGTTCACTTTATTCAGTCTGGCGGTTCTTAAAAAGTGTCTTACATTTTAAAAAAAACAAACTAACTAACACAACATAATAAAAAATGATCACTAATTTATTTAATAGGATGTAAACACATGCACACCAAACAAAGAATATTGTTTAAATATATTGTGTTCAATACTATTTTAAAAAAGCATAAACATGTAATTATGTTATATTCTCACGATAACAAATACAAAGGAATCATTTATATATATATACATATACATAAATATATAGATATATATACATACATTTATATATTTATTTTATATATACATACATGTATTATATACTTTATTATTTATACAAAGCATAAACATGCTATTATGTTATATTCTCACGATAACAAATACAAAGGAATTATTTGTATATATATACATATATATACATACATTTATTATATACTTTATGATTTATTTAATATTCAATTTCTATTGAAAATTCTCATTTTAATGTAACTTTATTCTATGTAATGTTGCGTTATAATTGCATTAATTGCGTAGTGTCAAATTTTATTATCCACCTTTAATTTTTAGAGAGTAGTGCAGTAGACAAGTGCACACCACCTGACAACGCATTGATTGGAACGACCTGTTATAATTTTCACAAAACGAAGCTTTCATGGAGTAATGCTAAGGTAGGCAAATAGAAGAGAAAAAAAAACACAAAATGTAATCTTTAGTATCATATAGTTAATTTCCAGCTCATTTTGCCCTATTTTTTTTATTGTATTACTCCGTCACATTTTCCGTTGGTCAAGACTTCGTAGGAGGAAATCACGGGGCCTGAGATTTGTATGTAGGACTAAAAGCTGATTTCCCCAGTATCAGTAACGTTGCAGGAATTGCCGAAAATTTCTATAACAGGGACTTAAACTCAGCGTTGTCAATTTAGAATGTCCTTCTCTTTAATGAGTGGTCGTCCAGGTCTAACGATGACGTTTGTATTCTTGTCTAGGTTTTGCTGGGGGATTTAGCTCCAGTCCATAAGCTTTGGATTGAGACATTTCAGGCTGCTCAGAACTTTACTCAATTTTATATTTTGATCAATTTTTTTTTTAAAATTACCATTGTCTGCAATAAACCGCAATATCTTTGTCACATCGTCTTCATTATGTAATATTTATATAACAGAAATATCCCTTCGAACCATAACGGCAGCAATACATGAATCTGATATGTTCTAAAGTTTCTGGACCGAAAAGCATTAACATAAAATTCTAATTTCAGGCAATTTTATTTAGTTCGTCTTATGAATACAGCTTTACAACACCGTAATACATTATATCTAAGTAATTATTATTTGCAATATATGTTATTATCTTTAGATTATGGCGGTATTGTCTTTTTAAAATCTTTTACTTCGTTTTTTACGTGTGCTTTTTTCTTTGGGTCTGGTTGTGCGGCAACATTTTCGAATGATTAATTAAACTACTACTACTTAACATATCCAGCTATAACTTGGCAAATAGTCTATTGCCGATGATGAACAATTTTTTTAGCAAATGTTCAAACCCACCCCACGGCCCATCAAATGTCATTTATTGCTGGGTTTTTTTCTTGCTGAATGTAAAGGAAATATGTCACTAATTTTACGAAAGAAAAATCACGCTAACTATATAAGATCCTTAAAAAAATATTGAACTTTCATTTAATGTATATATTTTTTTATTATTTTTTTTTCTTGTGTCAAATTTTGTGCAGTAAATCTGCGGTGTAAATGGGGTGAGAGATGGGAATAATAATAAAAGATAAAATAATACAAATTGCCTATAAAAGATTTACAAGAACATTTTTGTAGGGTCTCTTTAATTATTTCAACAGATGGCGTGTGAAACGGAAGAACATCTGCTAGCGAGAATAGAAAGTACAGATCATATAGAGAATATTTTTGTAAACATGTCTTCGGTTGATAAAAACACAGGTATATGCAACTTGTGATATGTGTATGTATCATTTGTATGTGACATTTGTTTGTGATATTTTAAATTGATATTTGTATGGGACATGTTTGTGTGACGTATGTTAACAGATATCTCAATGTTTAGAACCGTATGTACAACAAAAAAGAGTTCGTTTCTTACCAAACCAATGAAAATGAATTTATCCATGTTCATTTTCGTGACTTTTATTTTGCTACCTATTTTTCCCCAGATCAGTGGTACTAAAACTCTGGCAAGCGGGGCCAATTAATTCGAAAATATCTTGTTGAAATTTACATCCGTTAACAAATGTTGTTTTTTTCTAAAATAAAAACTATGCATACATGTACAATGCAGACACATTCCCAGCGTGGATTGGGGCAAGATCCTTCGATGTTGAAAATGCCTTTGTCTGGGAGGATGATGGCGCCAGAGTTGTGGAAGACGTTTGGAGAAATCAAGAGCCAAGGTCCCGCACTGCTACACGAGAAGACTGCGCCGCTGTGGATTTGGGCATGAAGGTATCCTCTTTTGATTGTGGACTGCAGATGCCGTACCTGTGCATGCACGATGGTGAGTACCTAATACATTAAAACTTTGCAATTACTTCATGGAGATTGAAAAATATGTAAATAATTATTTTTTAAGTTTACATATATATATATATGAAAGCTACAGGGAAAAAAACATGGTTACATTTTTAAAATGTGTTACTAATCACCCCTGCCTGATCAGATTTAATTATTTTGTGTGGAGATAAAAGGCTAAATCCATACGGAAAATCGAAATGAAAAATACCGTGTACAATTTTAAAAATGGAGGATAGTCAAATAATTTCAGTGGAAAATAGGCCTAAGTAAGCAATTCCACGTGACATTTGAAGTTTGTTATATAAAGATCAAATAAAAGGCTGCTTTTGTGTACACAAGTTTTAAAGATGTTGGATGAAGATGAACGCGCTGAACTGTAAAAACTAAATAAGAAAGTAAAAAAACACACACACAAAACTTTCAGTTCAAGCAGGAAAATAATGCAACTGCACTTGATTTAATTGTTTTGAATTTGTTAAACAAGGTGACAAAGCTCTAGTATTGAAGTAATTCACCTCAAAATCAAGCAAAGCGCAGGACTCTTTCTTTTCTGGGATTATATCTGCCTGTCATGTGTCTAGAAGGAGACTGTGAAAAGATGAACCTAGGTTTAGTAATAACAGCCATGTAAGAGGAGTTTGTTCGATTGTGCATTTCTTTCATTTTTGGCATCAAGAACCGCAGAGAAGTGACAATCAAATGGAGTTGTTTAGCTAAATGTAGACGTACATCTTTTATTCATTGTATTCCTTTATATACTATTTTGAAAAGTAATAACGATTATAAATGCTTTCAACTGCACTGTCGTTAAGATTTCCAATGATTTATTTATATAATTTACTATCAGTAGAAAGTTGTCATGAAACATCTTTATAAAGCTGAATACTATTTAGAAAAGGCCTTTACATAAAGTTGCATGCCCTGAAGCAACAAGCCTTTCTATCATGATAGACGCCCTGTACCAAAAAGATCTCTCTATAAAGCTTGATGCCCTCTACCAACAAAGCCTTTCTATGAAGCTGTATGTTCTGTACAAATAAATCGTTTCTATAAAGTTGAATTCCCTCTAACAACAAGGCCTATCTATAACGAGAACTCTCTATAAAGCTGGATTCTATATTCCAATTAAAAACTTTCAATAAAGCTTAATGGCCTCTACAAAGACAGCTTTTCTATAAACCTTGGTGCCCTTTACCTACAAGGCCTTTCTCGGAGGCTGGATACCCTCTACCCGCAAGACCTTTCTTTAGAGTGTGATGCCCTGTAAAAAAAAGAGACCTCTCTATAAATCTGGATGCCTTCTGCCTTCAAGACTTTTTCGAGAAGTATTATTTCTATTGATGATCTGTTACGAAAAATCACCTGAGTTCCAAATGTACGATAGAAGATAAAAATTTTCACAATTAGGGGGCCTTTTAAACATGTACAACGACAAAATGTGTAATTTAGCCGCAAAATGTATAGATTAACTGGTTCTTCACTAAACCAGTAACAGGTCTGAATTTGTTTCCCCATAACCTCATGAAACCTAATCAAATGAACATGAGCATGATGACTTTGACTAACACTTATTTCAAAACACTAATACATTTTTCTCTTTAATTGTACACTAGTTTTGTTATATCCATTAAATTGATGGTGTATGTCTTTCTGTTTCCCTGTTGCTCTATCTCTGTTGGTATGTCTGAATCCCCTAGTCTCTATATCTCTGTCAGTCTCTATAGTGCATAGAGTTACAGATGGAAAATTAACTACAGTGAAACCGAAATTGTAAAAATAATATAAGAAAGGTTGATTATAAACCTGCCTGTTTAAACTCATGATAATACTTTTTAAAAAAAAATACAGGTAGCTATTGACGTGTTCAATATTCTTATAAGAAACATTAAAAGGATTTGCCTTAATGTGAACATTTAATTATACAATATGTTTACATAGTAACATGCATGATTTAATCTTATAGTATAAAAGAAATGAATTGACTAAATAAGAACATTTGCTGCTAAAAAAGTTTTACATAGCTAATTATAGACATAGTCTTTATGTATATTAAATGATCTCAAACAATGTATTGATCATTTTGGTTTCCTTGCATGTAGAGAGGGGATTTACAATGTTTCTGTGCCTTGTGTTTATGAGGATATTTCGCTGATTGGAAGGGTTTCTTTATGTGGGGATCATTCAATAGGGCATGGGCAGGCCTGAGGCAACAGAGGCACGTGTCTCAAGAAAATTGGAGTTGCCTATCTTTAGATTACGCCTGAAGAACCCCAGGTTCTTGCTTGCCTTGTTCCACACAGTGTTAATATGCTCGTTAATACACTATTCATATTTTATAAACTAAAAGATTTACATAATTGTCACATTTAGTTACAAAATAGTTTTGTTAGATGGTTAACAACGATATATTTTTAATAAAATATTTCAATAAAAAAAACCCGTCAGAGTCAATTTACCAAATGAGGAGAATATAGACTTAGGTGGTCAGCTGCCGGTTACAAATTGCCTAGATTAGGGCCATTCAATAGTTAGCAGAAATATAAATTCCAGGAACTTAGACTAGTGAAAGCGAATCTCAAAGAAACGTTTTTTAAGGAATCAAACAAACCTAATGAATATTCTGAACTGTACTTAAACCTCCTACAGATACCTTTAAAATTAAATCATCATGCTCTTATAGCAGCCCGACTAAGTGATTTGGAAGTTCAAGACCTTACAAAAGAAGTCAAAACTGTATAAACATGACTAACTATACAATTATAAAAAGTGTTGGACTGCAATAAAGCTTTAAAATATATTAATAAGACACGAACAAATTGTGTCAATAGAACAATATGAGTTAGCTTTAATAATAAGTGTACATTATACAGAATTAAACGTTTCGGCACATGCCTTCATCAGTACAAACAAACACAACACATTTAAATAAGTATAAATTAAATTTACATAATGTTAATATATATATCCTACCTAAAACAGAAAAAAATATAGGAGAGGGCGCTTAAACCAGACACAAACAAAGTAAAGAGAAGTAGAAACGGCCTTTATCTCAAGAAAAAAATTGTTAGTCAGGAAATTAGTTCACGCAGTCGCTCCATCCAATGAAACTGTACGTGAAGTTCATCAGTTAGTTATACGAAAGATCTACAGAGATGACGTGATGTAATTATTTCAAAAATCTCCCATGTGAGGACATCTATAAATAAAAACGACATTAGCGAAAACTCGTAAACATTTTTAAGGGTCTAACATGAAGAAAAATGTTACACACTTTAGCTTAACATGTGACGTTTGTCAACGAATATGCAAACCAAAGCTTCCTTAAGCACCATACCTTCCTTTGAAGAATCCTCTTGATTTTCCCCTTTTCAAAGTCTATTTGGACATACTGTCAGAAGACCATGAAAGCTAGTGAAAGAACATTGGACAAATCAAGGCCATACTAAAAACGTAAATACCTTATCAGATCTTAAGTAAAACTAGAGACAATAACCCGTGTTAAATTAGAAGAAATCTCGGATGAAGAACCATGACCAGCATTTTACATGAGGTACCATTACTCAATTTTAATGCATTATTTTGTTTTATTATAAAACTATATTTTGTTTTTTTATGGAATTTTACTATATGCCATGCTATACATTTGCATGTTGTTGTTTGTTTTTTTTATCACAACAGGTCACTAAGTAGTCATTGTAACTTTTATATCAGCAACATAAGTTTTGACATTTTTTTACCTTTATTTTTATTATCCCATTTGGTTTCAATGTATAAACCATCTGTAAGGAACTTCAATGGTGTCATTGTCCACATTTTGTAATTTAGGTAATTTAGGTAAACAGGCTTATGGAAACCAATTTGTCTTTATTCATGCTTTTGTAGGATACACTTATTTTAGTGGGTAATGCACAAACAACAAATGTACTAGTCTGACTCGGGTTTTGACAATGGAGAATTTATAAGTTTACTATTGGTTAAGCCCCAAGCAAGTTTATATATATATTGGAACTTGATGATGTCATTTCGCTATTTAAAAAAAAAATCCCAATACAATGATCATTTTCTTTCCCAAGTGGAAGTGTGTTATGAGGTTGGCCCCCATTTGTTTATGTACCCCATTAACCTGACCATGTCAGGTTGGCACAGCCAAGAAGCACGAGGTCTGTATCGGAACACAGGCACAATCAACCTTGATTTAAGCTGATATTGACCTACTAAATGGTCAAGCCATCGAAATGAGGATTAGACTGGTCGCATCGATCCTAGAGGTGTAGACCAAATGAGGAGGAGAGAGAGATAGGTGGTTAACCGCCGGTTGCAATTGCTTAACTAGAGAAGGGCCATTCAATAGTTAGCAGAAATATAAATTCCAGGCAGTTAGACTAGAGATAGTATTCAGTATATTATTGTTACTGTGAGGATTTTAGATAATGTTAGTGTTAGACTTGCATTCATTTCATTATATGTAGATTTCATGTATCTTTTTTCACATTATAGTCCACGTAAGAAAGTACATTTGTAAAGTGCACTGATTGTCTTTATTTTAGCCAAAAAGGGTGTCTAAAATCTAACTGTGTCAGCCCTTTTTTCAAAACCCCTAGATCACGAGCTTGTTCACATTCATTAAACACAATAAGGGGCGTAACATATGGCATAAAATTTGTTTTAAAAGAAGAGATGTTACATTCCTTTTTTTTTAAAATATGGGTATTTTTATTTTGCCAAAGGCAAAACAAGATACGTCTCACAAAAAAAAAAAGGAATGAATTTGATACATATTTAAAATTCTTGTGTACATACATACCGGTGATAGTAAAAAGAACTTGCACATCTATGCGTGGTTAACAATATATTAAAATCCTATGGTATTACATTTGTGAAAAAAGAGATGTTACATTCTCTTTTTACAAATAAACGTGTCTTTACCAATAAATAATATCAATGGCTTTAACAAATGGTTGGTTCGTTTATATAAGTATATCCATGAATATCAAAACCCAATCAATTGCGCGCTTGAAAAATTAATTTCAAAATTGGAGATGGGTTAATACTTACTTTTCAAAAATTAAAATATATTTTTGTTTTTACTTTGCAAAAATTAAAGAGATGTGTATTTTTATGAGATTAACCATTTAAATTAAAAAAAAAGACACTCATGTCTGTTAAAGGAGAGAGAAACTGTTGTGAGAATCTTCTTTAGATGTAAGAATTCTTTGTTTTACGATTTTCTGATAAAGTAAAATTTAAAAAAAAACAAAGGAAAATTGTGTTTATATTATTGATTAAGGTGTGAATATATCAAATTACCTTAATAGGAAATAACTTTTTATCATATTGCTATGTTGTTTTTTTTAATTTTTTGATATTTTTTTTTAAATCAATGGCACGAAAAAGGTTAAATCTAAATTATTTCTCTAGCGTAGAAATCATGCATCAATTAACTTCCTTAGTGACAAAAGTGATATAATTAATGATAATTTATACTGGGTAATTTAAGGTTATATTTAGATAGAAAAAATACATTTTTGGCGTGAAAGAGAGTGGGTTAGGCGCATAATATATATATATATATATATATATATATATATAGATAGATATATATATATATATATATATATATAGCAGATAAATATTTATTTTAAAAAATAATGATGTTCCAAACGTAAATATTATTACATAAATACTTCTTTTTAAAGTGACGATTTGTGATGAGTTTTTGAAATAGCAGGTAGAAATTATTGCAATAGATCTACCGTTATTATCACCATAACATGGGGTCATTTATGCTAGTATATTATATTTAGTTACCGGGTATGCAAAATTATACATGGATAATGTTTTTTTTGTGTGTTTTTGTCAGTACCCAAGAGAATGGAGTATTTTAAAAATTCCAAACCCTTACTTTGCCATTGTTCTGATGGGAACTGCAATGACGCTGGTGACTGTCCCACTACTAATAAGTGTGCAAGGCGCTGGTTTGGACCTGGCTGTCAGCAGAGTAAGTGATCCATTAAGATCATCATGCTGTAATTTGTGAGTATTTCCATTAACTTAAATTATGTTGTTAATTGGTTGCGTTTATGACATTCATACAAATGTGAACCTGCTTTAAGACACATTTCAAAAAATTAAGTCGAAAAAAAAGAAGAATATTTTTTTTTTAATGTTACTAATTTAGAAATTGAAATTGATAAATTTCATAAAGGTTTATACAAGAAAATCACATTAATTTTATTTAAAAAAAACAACTATATTTTCAGTATGCACCAAAACTAAGATTACTTAAACACCTGCATCTTGAACGTACACATATCGTTATTAATGGAGTAACAGTCCAGCCGCTTTGCATTCCCTTTAATTGAAGCAAATATGATCGTGATTGGGGACTGAGGTTGAAAATAAAGATATAATTATTTCGAGAGGAATTTAATAACAAGACGGCTCCCTCTAACACAGTAGTGATGACTATTATTAAACGATTTGACCGTGTATAAAAGAAAGTCACTTAATGGTCGGTGAGACCTGTTAAACCATTGAAATGTTACATTTAGAAATGGTGTCAGCGGCCGTCGAGCTTGCGCTCTTTATGCCCTCCCCAAAACACCCCTCCACAACCCGGTATCGGGCCGGGGAGCAGCACGTCGGGGATATCCCTTTGTCAGGACAGCCCCCATCCAAGTCTGCTCGACAAGGGTCCCCGCCGGGGGCCCTCCTAACTCAAATACACCCGGTCGGTTCGACACTGTGTTTGCACAGAGTGCACACGATTGACTTTCTCATGAGTCGGGATGGAAAGATTTACGTCCTAATATCTTCCCCCACCCATCCCCGGGAAGCGTTAGATGCCCTATAACAGGGATTCTACAGTGGGTTTCCACAACGCAACTAATTCGCGATGCAGCTGGGACGAAACGGTTGCCTTGGAGCAGCTTCTCAAGGCTGCATTGTAAGAATAATCGGCCAGAGGTTACCACCTTCACCTCTCGCCTAATATCCATTTACGCAACTTCTTCTTCTTCTATATCTTAAGGGCCCACGATCAATTTATTGATCATTTTGGCTCCAATGCATGTAGATGGGATTTGCAATGTTTCTCTTCCTGGTGTTGATGACGAAATTACACTGATTTCCAGTGCCACTTTGTGAGGGAATCATGCACTTGGTGTTTGAAGGCTTGAGGCAATAGACTCAAATGTGTCTAGTGTTGTCGCCTCAACCGTTCCTTTTGAAAGATTGCTCCAGTCCCTGATTGTCTTGGGCAGGAATGAGCAGCTCCTATACTGGCTTCTTGCTGGTATGAGCCTGAATTGCCTGTCATGGCCTCGTGCTGCCAACACTAGAGGTATTCCTGTAGCGGTTTAGGACAAAGCATGCTGCTCGTCGCTTGACCGCCTCCAATCTGTCAATGCTCTTCTGGGTAAATGGGTCCCAGACTGAAGATGCATAATCTAAAACCAGTCTGACAAAGGCTTTATATGCCCTTTTCTTTCACACAGGAGTTGCCAATCTTTAGATTTCGCCTTAAGAACCCTAGGTTCTTGTTTGGTTGGTTACATACATTGTTAATATGCTCGTCCCATCATAATCCCAACCCTGTCTCTGCCAATTTTTCCAGTTGTGAAGTATCACAACAGGCAGCCATGTAGGAGATTTTTTATGTACGGCAGGTACCGAGCACATCCCTAGTCTGCTCACACAGAACGCTCTTAGTAGTTGTGTTCCCCGGGTAACGCGAGGGGGTCGGTGGCCGACGCCTCCTAATCGACAAGCCACCACAGACTTGTCAACCGGAGAACCGGGGATGTTAAGCCATTAAAAGAAGGGACTTTAATAATTAGAACTAAATAAAATCAAATAGGCTTTCCAGCCCCCAGTGCATGACACTCTCACAAAGTAGCCTTTGAAACCAGTGAAATATCCTCATCAACACCACTCACAATAACATTGCAAATCCCCTCTACATGCATAGGAGCCAAAATGATCAATAAATCCATCGTGGGCCGTTGATATATAGAAGAAGAAGGAGAAACTGCACATCTCTATTAAACCCTGTATCATAATGAGCAACGATGTCCCACGTCATCATCTTTTCTAGTATTTCTAGCCCGGTTAAGTCTTGTCCATCCTGTATGCGATACGAAAATCAACCTCTGTCAAAATAAACTGATGTATCGAGAAATATAACATTGAAAGACATTCGTCTTTGAGCTTATAGAATGGGTCTCCTTTCTGGTTAACGATAGCGTGCTTCTGTATAGAAACTGTTACAGGAATCCCCTTTCCGTTTGACACAGTACATTTGCATTTTCGTGATAATATACAACATAACGGTGTTACTTGGTGCCAGTCGGTGCAAGACTTACAAATTTCGCTTAGAATTGTTCTGTCACGGACCAACTTTATGCTCAGTTACGTATAGGCGATGAATTATGGGCATTAATGAAGACATTTTCCGTCACCGAAATACCCATTTGCAACTAAAACTATCCAACATATGGTCCTTTTTTAAATTCAAGGAACACTTTGCGGCTGGAGTAATGCACCGCGCACAGATTTGAAACTCATAAAAACGTTTATAATGCAAGAGATTCAGTTTTGGTACATTTGTCGCATTAGTGCTTCTGATTAAGCACTAGTATGATGTAATATTTATTAAATCATTGTAAAAAATAGTTAAAATGTTAAATAATGTGCATTTTAAAAATTAAAAAAAATTTAGGTACCCATTTTTTTTATTCCTACCCTTATGTCCTTTTATGTGTTTACGTCTTTCAAAAATGCTTTACACAGGAAGTCTTCCAAACAGCCTTGAAGGGATAATGCCGGTGTTATTCGACAACGACGATACGACGTGCCTAGGGAAAACCATCAATACTATGAAATTGTCTTTCGGACACAATCACAACTTTACGTGGCTACGTCTTGTTTTTGGTCAAACAGGTTTGTCTTTAACGAAAGTGCATGTTTAATACAGAAATTGATATGACCTGATTTTATTCAGATAAAAAATTTGAGAAAAAGCATTAACACAAGTGTTCAATCAATGATTTTAGTGTTCATCAACGTTAAGGTATAAAAACTTGTTTTCGCTTGCTAAAGTCCTGAAAAGATGTGAATAAATAACATTATCAGACTCAACAACAAAGACTTACAATTCTTGTTTCATTTCTTTTCCCAAACAGGACAAGTTAATAATTTTCAAATCTCGTTTCCTGGCGAACATGGAAAATGTACACGTTTAGTGAATGTCACTGTAAATGTCAACGCTGTGGATCTGTCGTGCCCGACAATGACGACGGCTGTCAATAATCTAAAGGTGTCGTGGACAGGAAAAAAAGCATTATGTTCGTGTTACATAAATGGAGGTAATCATGAACCGATGATGTTGTATTTCTTTAATTATTTTAGCAGAGTCTATATAATTTTCATTTGGCTGTTTTTCTATTATGAGATTTTTAAGTATTTTGTTTAAAGTGTCACATTTAATGTATTTATCAGATTACAATAGGTTAATGCCTATACAACCATCACGAAATGGAAAAAAATATATATATTCACCATTAGAGCTTAACCGGTGGCAGATTTTTTTACACCGTGTCCGGTATGTTCAGAAATAGGCCTACCGAAAGTCTTACACCCTGTCTGCAGGAAATTCAACAATATGTCTAAAGACACTCCAACACCCTACCTGCCAGCCTTTAAATATTAGTGCTAATGTTAATTATGCAGGCATTCTTACACCATATTCGTGGCTCTTTATTGACAAATATAATTGTCCCCCCCCGCTAAAAAAAAAAAAAAATAATAAAGAAAAATATTACCTGAGTTCATACGTCGAAAGTGGTATCTTTTTTTTTACTCAGTACAATTAATATAAAACATGTGGAGTTTGGGGGTGGGCTGTTTAAAAAAGGAAGTGGAGTCATTAGAGAATTTTTTTGTGTGCCCTTGTAAAACCCGGATGAAGTATGGTTTTTTTGGTGATGGAAAAAACTTTGAGAACTTCTGCTGTATTCAAAGAAAAAAAAATTCTAACTAGACACACATTCGTTTAAGCTGCGAGTGGCCACGTCATCTTCCCCCAATTATTTCTGCATAAGTCGGTTCTTGCTAGGTGGTAGCAGTTGTTCAGGATATCGTTGAGAAGATCAAATCACGGGACACTGAGTCACACTGGCGGACACAACATTTTATGTGAGCGAGGGGTCAGTTGTGCCCAGGGCAAGGGGGCCTGGACGTCTTGGCGATTTTCGGGTGGCATTAGCCTCAGCAGCGCCATAGCTGAATTGTTCCCTTAAATGAATGATATCTCATCTGGATCAAAAGTTGTCAGTGACGCTCACGTCTCTATGGTTTTCATGGTCGTCAAATTTCACTATTCGCCTTCAACCGGGGAAGTTTTAAAAAAAAAATATCTTCATTTAAATTTTACCTCCGCTTTAAAAGACATAAATATATTGCACGTTTTTAATACGCGAACAATAGTTTAATTAAGTAATAGTATGTTTTAAGCGTTCATTATATTCAGATATATAGGAGATTTTTTTTCTATCAATCCGTCTTTATTAAGAAGCTGTTTTTTGTTGTTGTTTTTATCAAATGAAGGTAAAAACATAATGCTATTGTACAGTTTGAATTCGGCTACGGCTAACCATCAACTCGTCACCTCACCGATTGACGGGGACAAAGGGAAGAGCGTTCCATGTATAAACGTTACATTTGGTTTTACAGAACCATATTATACTGTAAAATTTGACTTTGAGTTCGTGCCCACGGAAATTATTCTATACAGGCGTATAAGTGAGCATGCGTATTTAATTTTTTTCCCGTGAACTTCCTTTTCAGAGAGGTTTTATTCTGATGTGCGTTATTGTTGTATTTTTTTTTTTTTAAATTCCTTTACTTAATCTTCCTTGCGGTCTTTTTATTTTTGTCCTCCTTATTAAAATGGTGAAATGAAATGATTTAATTTTTTTTTTAAGTTTTAACAATAAAAAATATAATTTTTTATAACACTTATTAATTATTTATATTCCTTTTAAAAAAATAAAATTAATTGTTTCAAAATTTTAAAAAAAATAAATTTTAAAATATTTAAAAAAAAGAAAATACCTGGCGTTGAAAAGCTGAACCTGAAAATGGTTTCGGATCACCAAATAACGTACACTTAAAATCCGGACCATTAATTGTGTCTTTTATAAGCCTACGGTCGTAAAATGGCTTCATTTATATTTCTGTAAGAACAAAAACTGTGTTTAGAAAAAAACAAAACAACTCAACTTTTTATTTAAATTTGGAATAAAAATTATCATAATTAAATTATAATATGAAATCTCGCCTATCTGCTAATATCTTAAATAAAACACACAAAAAAATACTTAAAATCTATTTTGTATTTATATTAGTATTTCTTTCAGTCTATTTACATTACAAAGTGTGTATTCTGACCCAAAGCATCTAGCAATAAAATTGTTGGTAACACTGCATTGGAATGGCGCTCTATTTTCGCGTAAATCTCAGCACATAACATTCTACTTAATTTGATTATCCTCCAATACAAACAAACACTGAAGGAAATAAAACAATAAGTAAACTTATTTGTTGCTTTTTTCTTTTAAACTTAAAAGTAACAAACATAAAAAGCATACATTATTATGTTTTTTTTATTTGTTTGTTTGAATTTTTTATATTTAAAAAAAAAATATTTTGTTGTTTTTCTATAAAATAATTATCATTTATAGGTCTATTATGATTTGTTGTTCAAAGAAAGCATTTTTTAATTGTATATTAAAATATGTACGGTATTTTTCAAAGGCAATATTATGTAAATTTACACACTTAATACGATTCATATTTGCTGCTATTGCAGATCCTAAAGGCTACCAACATTTAGACGGAGTTGTTATAAGTGTCTATGACAAGACCGGAGACACAATTCCTGTCTCGCAAATGAGCACAAACAGCGTGTTCTCTACCGTGTTGCTGAACCCACTCCTAGAGAAGCCAATCACTAAAATCGTTGTCACGCTGTCCAATGAAAGCATAGCGCTCAGGAAAGGGGATATGAACATATGCGAGCTAGAAGTCTTTGGTGGTAAGCATGGACATCGGTCACTTCGTCAAAAGCAAAATCACTGACATGTTGGCATCGTCAAGTAAACTTGATCGACAAATACACTGAAATTCATTTCGTAAACGTACAGTTCATCATAAGACACATCGTCCAGAAAAAAAATTCCATTCGATGGATATAAATCATTGACATGGTAAAATTAAAAAAAAAAAATCCATGACATTTAGCATTTCTTTGTATAATTAAGCAGATTAATTTTGAAATCAAATAAAATGACAATTCTAACAATTAAATTAATAATTAATGCCACTACAGTTAAGTATTTTGTAAAGAGAAAAAATGAGCGAAAACACAAAAATTATAATTCATTACATTTTTTTTTTTACATCTTCAGACAGATTAAATACTTAAATCAGTGACGTTGCAACGTTTCATTCGCCCAAGAAAAATGTATGGCAAGCACTTAGTAGAGTGGTGGAACAATAAATTATATATTGCACGCTAAAAGTCAAGCTTATTCTTGAATTATTCTCCAAATGAATTATCCAAACTAAGAGAAGTATTCTATAGCTCGAACGTTCTGAAAATATTATGGGATTAGGACCACCTAGAAATATGTGAAATTGGCATGACATACGGTTCTTGAGCTACTCCAAAAAGGAATCAAGCTAGATCTTGTCTTGAGCTGCTCCAAGAAGGAATCAAGCTAGATCTTGTCTTGAGCTGCTCCAATACACCCCTACCAGATATATAATGTCTTGAGCTGCTAAAATACACATCTACAGGTAGATCATGTTTTAAGCTGTTCCAATACACGCCTTCAGGTAGATTTTTGTCTTAGGCAGCTCCAATACACATCTACAGGAATAGCTTGTCTTGAACTACTCCAACAAATTTTTTCTGTTAGATCGTGTCTTGAGCTGCTCTAATAGACGCGAAAAACTAGATCTTGTCTTGAGCTGCTGAAATACACGCCTACAGGTAGATCTTGTATCAAGCTGCTCAGAGATATGCCTACAGGTAGATCTTGTCTTGAGCTTCTCCAATACACGCCTACAGTTTGACTTGTATTGAGCTGCTTCCACACACGTTTATAGTTTGATCTCTTTTGAGCTGCTACAATACACACCTATAGTTTCATCTGTCTTGAGCCTCTCCAATTCGTGACTTAGGTAGATTTTGTCTGATTTGACACAATACACACTTTTATACTACATAGTAAATCAAAATAATGCGTTTAAAAAAGAAATTTGATGCAAATATTTAAAATGTGAACCGAAAAAAATGATACGATCAGATTTCCATTCGAGCAAATTTCCGTCACAAAATTTCCCTCGAGCAGATTTCTTTCCAACAATTTTTCAAGTACCGTTATTTGAGTGGTAGGGCAGTTAAAACAACCCAAGTAGAAATCTATATTTCCACTTGTATTTATGGAGCTTGTATGAGGAAAAAATACATATAGATAAACTGCCTTAACTGGAGATAGCTTATGCCCTCTCATTACCATATTGCAACAAACCTACATGTATGGCGATGAAGTGGCCATGTAGAGTTTTTTTGTGTGGATGATTATGTCCATTTTGATTTGTTTTTTTTTCCGTCGATAAATTGTCTATCGCTGTCACTGGTATGTGTGTCAAATGAATTGGTGTGTCGATGAAGTGTCTTTCGATGATGTATGCATTAGGCATTATCACATAAGTATTTTTTTTTGTTTTATTAGGAGGAAGAAAAATCGGAGACGAGCGAGAAGCTTGAAAATTGTCACATACCCTCAACATTTTCATCCATAAGTAATTGATGCATTTCGCCCATACATACATATGGATAGGTGTTGATTTCTTATTATTTTTCTATATTTTGAGGGCCCACGATAAGTGAATTGATCATTCTGGCTACTATGTTTCAGAGAGTTTGAAATGTAACTGTGCATGTTTTTAAAGGGTATACTTCACTAGTTGTAAGGGCTACTTAGCAAAGGTATTATGAACTGATAGTTGGAAGACGTTAGGCAACAGCGGCAAATGTGTCAAGGGAAGTTGCCTAAACGGTTGATTTTGGAAGCATGTTACAGTCCTTTATTTTATTTTGTTGAAATGAGGACCTCCATTTTGTGAGTTCTTGTTTTAATGAACCAGAACTGCCGGTCATGCCTCGTCGCTGTAAAAGAGAAAAGGGGTGGGAATGGAGGGAGAGGGACGAGTTTCTGTTTAATACTGGAGCAGTGGACCAGCAGATTATGTATCTTGTACAGCCTGGATAGTCGTCGTCGCTCCTACAATAGTGACCAGCCCAATGTCTCCAGCATGCTGCCAACACTTGAGGTATTTCTTTAGCGTTTCAGGACTTAGCGTGCTGCCAATCGCTGGGGCCACCTCCAACTTGTCGATGCTCTTCTTGGTGAATTCCTCCTACACTGAAGATGAGTACTCAAAAAGAGGTCTGGCTAATGCTATGAAAGCTGTCTCTTTTATTTTTGAGTTGCCGATCTTTAGATATCGATTTAAGAACAATTGGGTCTTGTTTGCCCGTTTACACACATTGTAAATGCGCTCGTCCCAGCGGACACCCTTTGAAAATTAACACCCAAATACAATATTACGGATCAAACTGGCTCAAGTATGGCCATGCAGTTCTTAAGGAAGGTGTTTAGTGAATCTGCCTCTGGAGACTGATTTTGTTGCTTTCATGAAATAACACCATGGTTAGCAGGCTCTTTGCTCCCATCATTCACACGACCCTAACTAGTGTATTGCATACGCTAAAATGCTTTTATAATTGATTATTAACACTAACATAAAATGTTGTCTTTAGAAAAAAATGTTTGAAAAGCTAACTTTGTAGGGAGATTTCTACTGAATTAGTTAGGTGTTTGTGGAGGTTGTTGCTTTTTTTTAAAAATAGTTTTTGTAAATATTTTTTTTCGGTAGATGTGCCATAATTATTAATAAACCAAGTGGGCGTTCATGAATTGTTTGTTGTTTCTGATTACGGGCTCCACTCATGTTAACCATTTGTCATGTCATGACAGTTTTTACATAAGGAAACTAATTTAAGCATCCGATCATTCTTAATGAATAAAATATGATGGCAAGTTTTTAGCGTGCAATAAATCATAAGGATCTATTTGTTGTTTGCACTTAAATCGACTCCAATTTGTAAACAATTACAATACATAAATATATATTTATATATTATTTGTTTTCAATGACATTTTCAGAGTGCCCCAGTGGGACGTTTGGTCTTCTTTGTGAACACAGATGCATCGAAAGGTGTTTAACAGACGCTTGCTTTGACACGGGCGCGTGTTTTCATGGAGAAAGGACGAGGCCCACAATAAGAACAACAACAACGCTCTGTAAGTGACACCGCACAACATCTCTTCCGTCTTATTGCAGACTTCAACCTACACTGAGCGTGCCACTGTCAAAATATGACATTGAATCCACATTTACAGAGCTATAAACAGCACATTACAATAAGTCTTATTATGAAAGGCAACCAGTGTTTCTTTCAAGCATATCTCGGAGGGGGACTGTGCCCCTCCAGCGAAAAATGTTAAATGCAACCGGCCCCCCCCCCGGTCCCCCGAAGTAAAATGTGCCAAACATAAATAAATATATATATTTATAAATGAACTACCAACTTGAATTTTTTTATAAACATTTACAAGAATAATACCTGGTGCCCATAATCGATTACAATTATTGGACACTGATATATCGATCAGCTCTATACATTTGATGTTCCGTCCATTTCAGGCTAATTTTGTTGGAGACTTACAGTTTTCAATTATAATTATAGTACTGTTTCGAAAATATTAGCAGTAATATACAGTCTAGCATTTTAAAATAGTCCTTGCCAAGTATCAAACAGGTGCCATAGATTTTTTGAAGCATATTTTTTAATTAAAACATGACTTTTAAAGCATGAATTTAAAGTCACGTATAAAGTTTATGACGGCCTTATCCTTTAAAAAAAATGTAGTAACTATAATAAATTATATTTTGCTGGACTTCATGTATGTTGAGCTAGGAAAAAAGATGATTTATGTTTAAACAAAATAAATAATTTAATGACGACAAACAAATAATGCAACTTTTAACAATTATTGTTAAGACAACAGCTTTCCAGTTTTTCTTATATGCACTACATTTGTAACACATTTTCCAAAATAAGATTTATAAAATAAACTTAGATATATTTATTAAATTCTGAACTGCTTTTAACATTTTCATTTTAGAATAATAAATAATCTTCTCCAACTGTGTGCATGCATCTTTTTACATTTACTTTTAGATGAAAAAACAGCAAAAAGCTAGAGGAAGAAAAAAGAATAATATATATATATATATATTATATTTATATAATATATATATATATATATATATATATATATATATAAATATATATATATATATATATATACACATATATATATATATAAATATATAAATATATTTATTTATTTATAAGAATTAATATTTCGATTATTATGTCTCTTCCATTTACATACAGGATGTTGAGGAAAAAAAATTCTAAATCTTTAATTTAACGCTGTATTCAAGGGATTTTAAAAAAAAAAATAATGTGTTTAACTAAATTGAAGAGGCAATCAAAAATTCAACTGAAGCAAGCTATTATGATTGGAATTCCAAAAAAAACAACAACATTGTAATCAATATTGTGAGATATATTCTTTGCTTTAGTACGATTTCCTATTAATAAATAAACACTTTGATAAATCTATTTTTTGTTTTGATAAACAAACCACGTCTTCTTAAATTAGTAATGCATCTCTTTTACGATTTATAAAAATAACCAGTTTTGAAAATCTTTAAAATGTGACGACATTTCTAGAAAAATAATTTTTTCATTCATTTCAAACTGAACTATTTGGAAAAATGTATTCATTTTAAATATTTTGTTCCATCGTGTTCAACATTTGAAATAATAAAGGTAAGTCCTTTTTTTTAGCATGGA